CTCCCTCAGCACTCAAGGCATTTCCAGTTCCTGTCAGCTGGGGGTCTCCACTGACTCCTATCTGAATGCCTCCGATGCGGGTCAGCTGCTGACGCTGCCTTTGGGGGTGAGGATGGGAAGGTGGACAGGGATGCACCCCTTTCTGTTAGCAGGGGCCCCTCCAGGACCCCCACCGTGAGGAAGTCGCCCACAGTCAGGGGCCCTCTTGCTGGCTGAAGCCTGCTGGGTCTCACTCTGGTGCCCGGAACCTGCAGTGGCCAGAGGTCTGCTGCCCATGGACATCCTGTCTGTCAGGGGCACACACGAGGTACGCAAGTACAAGGAACAGCTGCGCTGGGGCAGGTGCCCAGGACGACATGGGGAAGGGGCAGGAAAGCCTACCTGACAGCTCTCCAGCACTTGGGGCCTCTGTGCACTGTCCATCCAGATCTGACTTCTCTGCTCAGGACAATAATTGCTCTGGAAGCCGAGTGGATGAGCTCACGGCAGACAGGCAGACAGGCCTGGAGGACAGACATTACCCTTAGCAGTGAGCGAAGGGAAGGCAGACACCCAGGGTCCTTTGCTCCAGCAAAGCATCAGACAAGACCCAGCACCGCACAGACCAAGTCAAGTCACGCACAGACACCGTGGGGGGATGTGGCCACAACCCAGGATGGGCCTGGCGCGGGCTCCTGTCCTCAACACACAAAGGCCAGACAGCTGGATGGAGGGTGCGAGAGGCCTGCAGACCCTGGTACCCGCCCAGCTCACTGTGGAGCAGGTTCCAGGCCACAGCCATCGGGGACCCAGAACGTCCAACTGACAGGTGGAAAGGACAAGCTCCCAGCCCACACCTGGACCATGCACCAGACATGCCAAGAGCCTGCACACAGGTCTGTGGTCACCTGAGCCCCACCAGCCAGAGCCTCCAGTCAAGTCCTGGGAAAGGTACAGTCAGACGACCAGCTTCACCCTCCCCCAGGGTGGCTCTGGGCTTACCCTGACAACGTCTGGGGAAGGTCCCACAGAGTCTAAGCCACTTCTCAAACTCAAAACAAAGGCTGCCAGGCCTCAAAGGTGTGTAAGCAGACCCATCACCCGACGGCGTCAACTACAAACTCCACCTGGTATCCAATAAACGATCCCCACGCACATAAAGGGGCAGGAAAACACGGCCTCAAACCAGGGGAGACTCGAAGCTGAGATCAGGGAATCAGCAGACAAAGTGTAAGAACGGTGACCACAGACATGCTCTGTAGAACTGGGTAATGGGCAGAGGCTAGAACAGTTTGGAGAGCTTAAAGACAGGAAGATGAGGGAAAATCTGGAACTTCCCAGAGACTTGCTGAATGGCTGTGATTCAAATGCTGATAGTGACATGGACAGTGAGTTCCAGGCTGAGGTGGTCTCAGATGGAGGAGAGGAACTCAATGGGAATGGAGGCAAAGGTCACTCTTGCTATGCTTTAGCAGAGACTGACAGCATTGTGGCCTTGCTCTAGAAATCTGTGGAACTTTGAACTTGAGAGAGATGATTTAGGGCACCTGGTGGAAGAAATTTCTAAGCACTAAAGCATTCAAGAGGTGACCTGGCTGCTTCTAAAAGCCTATGCTCACTTGCATCAACAAAAAAATGACCTGAAACTGGAACTGACATTTAAAACTGGAACTGACATTTGAAGCAGAGTGTCAAAGCTTGGAAAATTTGCAGCCCAGCCATGTGGTAGAAAAGAAAAAAATCATTTTCTGGAGAGGAATTCAAGAAGGCTGCAGACATTGCGTAAGTAAAGAGGAGTCAAATGTTAATAGCCAAGACAATGGAGAAAATACCTCAGACATTTCAAAGACCTCTGCACAGTCCCTGCTCAGGCAGGCCTGATGGTCTACGAGGGAAAAATGGTTTCGTGGCCAGGCCCAGGGCCCCAATACTCTGTGAAGCATTGGGACATGGTGCCATGGTGCTCTGTGTCCCAGCCACGGCTAAAGGGACCAAGGTACAGCTTGGGCCAATGCTTCAAAGGGTGCAAGCCCCAAGCCTTGGCAGCTTCCACGTGGTGTTGGGTCTGTGGGAAGGCAGAAGGCAAGAGCTGAGGTTTGGGAACCTCCACCTAGATTTCAGAGGATGTATGGAAAAGCCAGGGTGTCCAGGCAGAAGTCTGCTGCAGGGGCGGGGCCTTCACGGAGAACCTCTGCTAGGGCAGTGCAGGGGGGAAATGTGATGTTGGAGCCCTCACCCCACAGAGACCCCACTGGGGCACTGTCCAGTGCAGCTGTGAGAAAAGGGCGACCGTCCCCCAGACCCCAGAATGGTACATCTGACAGCTTGCACCATGTCATCTGGAAAAGCTGCAAGCACTCAATACCAGCCCGGGAAAGCAGCCACAGGGGCTGTATCCTGCAGAGCCACAAGGACGGGGCTGCCCAAGGCCGTGGGAGCCCATCCCTTGCATCAGTGTGGCCTGGATGTGACACAAGGAATCAAAGAAGATTATTTGGGGGCCTCAAGATGTAATGACTGCCCTGCTGGGTTTCAGATTTGCAGCCTGCAGCCCCTTTGTTTTAGCTGATTTCTCCCTCTTGGAATGGGTCTATTTACCCAATGCCTGTACCCGATTTGTATCCTGGAATTCACTAACTTGGTTTTGATTTTACAGGCTCACAGGCAGAAGGAACTTGCCTTGTGTCAGATAAGACTTTAGACTCTGGACTTCTGAGTTAATGCTGGAATGAGTTAAGACTTTGGGGCACTGTTGGGAGGGCATGACTGTGTTTTGCAATGTCAGAAGCACAAGAGATTCGAGAAGAGTCAGGGGCAGAGTGATCTAGTTTGGCTCTGTACTCCCGCCCACATCTCACGTTGAATTGTAATTCCCAGTGTTAGGGGAGGGTCCTGGTGGAAGAATCATGGCGATGGATTTCCCCCTTGCTGTTTTCCGTTCTCACGATAGTGAGTGACTTCTCATGAGATCTGGTTGTTTAAAAGCACTTCCTCCTTTGCGCTCTCTCCTGCTGTGCCATGTGAAGACACGCATGCTTCTCCTTCATCTTCCACCATGACTGTAAGTTTCCTGATGCCTCCCAGCCAGGCCTCCCAGCCAGTCTGAGGAACTGTGAGTCAATTAAACCTCTTTTCTTCACCAATGACCAGTCTCAGGTGGTTCTTTACAACAGTGTGAGGACAGACTAACACACCACAGCACTTCAGCACCGAGCTGCTGAAAAGTAGTAATAAGGTCAAAATCTCAGAAGCGCTGAGAAAAACAGCTGCTGTGCAGAAAAGTGCTATCACAGCAGCCTGGGGCCAGGGTCCCCTGGAAGGCAAGGCCACTCACGGCTGGCGTCTGGGGTCCCCCCTCCGTGCTAGGGATTGTTCACAGCTCCAACGACAGGCACAGAGCGGTTTATGCTAAAGCTCACCTTCCCTCTGGGGTCTGGATTTTGGTACCTGCCTGGCAAGGGGGTGCCCTATGACCAGACCCCAGTGACCCTGGGTACCAAGCCTCTGATGAGCTTCCCTGGTGGGCATTTCACATGTGTTCTCACAGCTCACTCCTGGGAATTAAGCACGTCCCATGTGCCTCTGCTGGGAGCGGATCTGGGCCTCACGCTGGATTCCCTTGGACGTCACCCACGCTCTTGTCCCTCTGCTGCTGTTGGCGCCCATCCCCTATAATAAATCATGGCCATAAGTGCCTGAACAGAACCAGTGGAGACAGGTGGAATGTCACCATGGGAACCAGTGGGACCCATGGATCCAGGCTCCACAAATGCTGCTGGAGCTCAGAACAGCTGGGAGGCGCTGCACAGGCAGCCTCCCAGGTGAGGGCTCAGTCTCCAGGACTGCCCCACCGGCTGATGTCAACTGAAAGCCACACACAATCCACGCAAACCACAACTTCCCAAAATGAGCCACACAGACCACAACTTCCCAACACACAAGCCACACAGACAACCTCCCAACCTCCCAACATGTGAGCCACACAGACCACGACCTCCCAACACATGAGTCATACAAACCACAATTTCCCAACACATAAGCCACACAGACCACAGCAACTTTCCGACACGCAAGCCACACAGACCACAACCTCCCAACACATAAGCCACACAGACCACAACCTCCCAACACATAAGCCACACAGATCACAACCTCCCAACACATAAACCACACAGACCACAACTTTCTAACACATGAGCCACACAAACCACAACCTTCAAACACATAAGCCACACAGACCACGGCAATTTTCCAACACACGACCCATGCAGGCCACAACCTCCCAAAACACGAGCCACACAAACAACTTCCCAACACATGAGCCATGCAGACCACAAATTCCTAACACATAAGCCACACAGACCACAGCAACTTCCCGACACGTGAGCTATGCAAACCACAACCTCCCAACACGTGAGCCAAACAGACCACAACCTCCCAACACGCAAGTGATGCAGACCACAACCTCCCAACACGCAAGTTATGCAGACCACAACATCCCAACATGCAAGCCACGCAGACCACAACATCCCAACATGCAAGCCACGCAGACCACTGCAACTTCCCACCAGGTGCAGGCAAACAGAAGCAGACGCCTCTGAAATGCCCCCACTTCAGCATTCTTTACATACCATCCTATACTTAATATGAAAAAAAAACATAAAGTTCAAGTTAACGTTTTCTACGGACTACATGTTGAAACAAAACGTTGGATATAGAGGTGAAATAAAACCTGCCGGGATTAATGTCACCTGCATTGCTCTACTTCTCTTATCAGGGCTAGTAGGAAACCTGAGACTGCAGACTGTGCTCTGTTTCCATTGGAGACACTGGGTCTAGAAAGTCTTCTGCCAGAAAGGAGAGTGCAGTCAGCTGAGTGGGCTCCACCACCACACAGACCATCTGTGGCAGGAGCCACGGGAACAGGGTCGGTGGCCTATCATGGACCATTTGTCGGATCCAACACCAGCCTACAGACCCCATGAGCCAGGTCCCTCAGCCCGTGAGCCCAGCGCACTCACTTGATCTTGCTGAAGACGATGTCCACGTCGGTGACCGTCACGTTCCTGCCGTCGATCACCTGGCAGTCCTTGCACAGCTTCGACCAGTTCTTGCCATGCATCTCCCTCCCCGTGGCCCTGGTGTCCCCGTGCACCGCAAAGCGCCGGAAGGCCTCCTCCAGGGCACTGAGCTCGGGGGCCGCTGCTGCACCCTCACCGGCACCCTCCGACTCCAGCGACAGCCTCTTGGCCGCCCGGTCCTTCGAGGGGTCCCCCGGGGACTTGGGGGGCGTCCTGTTGGCAGCTTTGGCGGGCTTCGCCTTGTCAGCCATGTTGCTGTGGAGGAAGGAGAGGAGAAAGGTGTCACCCGGGCCATGTCCCAGCTGACTTGGG